GGCAGGGGCTTTGCCCCCGCCCTGGGCCTCCCCGCCGCGGCCCTGTGCCCCAGTCAGGCAGGGCGCTGCGGCCGCCGGTCCTCTTGGCTCTGCCGCTGCCCAGAGCTGGCAGGTCCTTTTCAGACAGGGTGTGGGGACCCCCCCAGAGAGAGTGGCTGGCCTCCCTCGGTGCGTTGCCTTGAGGACAGGGGGTGTTCCTTGAGAATTTGCTGCTGCTTTTTTTTCTGGGCTGAGTTCCTGAGCAAGGTTGGGTGACAGGTTTGAGCTGAAAACGTTCATATAGAAAAAGTGTAAGGCAGTGACCAATGCTTCTGGACCAGGCAGGTGTAACAGGGAAAGTATGTATGTATCCATAGCTCAAGTGTTGTCTGTTGTTTTCACTTGAAGTTGTGTGTTGTTTTTGGTTTTTTTTACACAGCCAGTATTTTTGGTATTATACTGAAGCCAATGCAGCAAAACCACACATAATAAATACAATACAAGTTGGGATTGATCATGAAGACCTTTTGTGGAAGAGCTAATCCAACCACTGGTGCAATGGAGTGGTTAGAAGAGGATGAGAACTATGACTATCATCAGGAAATTGCACGGTATACTTGAAAAAATAGCTTATTGTTCCACTAGAGCTACAAAAGGAGCAAACACAACTTGTTTTTATGACAGATTTTGGTTTTATGGAAGTTCCAAGGGCACAGATTGTAGGACAGTCTAAATGTTATAGTGCCCTGTGTTGTACAGGACTGACAAGAAATGTAGAATTTTGTAAAGTATTCTCCAGGTAGTATCCTTCTAAATTTTTAAAAAACGTTTCAGAGATGCTTATCTTAATGCTGACAGTGACTGAGTTGTGGCAAAATGCATTGACTAAATTTCTTTTAAATCCCCAGTGCAAGAAACAATTACTAAGTGTCTATTCCTGTAGTAACTTTTTAAGAGCTTCATGGAACAGCCAGAGAAATTGGGAGGATTAGATCTGGGAGTATTTTTAAGTAGTACGACCCATGAAGAAATGAATACCAAAGAAATTTAACAAATGATAGACCATTATTAAGCTCTCTTTCATTGCTGTGTATTGCTCTGTATGAACCTCTGTCCTGCTGTTATTTCACAGCTGTTTGTTCATAGGTTCATGTGTTGGGTCTATTGCTGAAGAGAGGAAATATGCCAGCAGTTAATTAGTTTATGTATATGCTGATGACCAGATCACTGAAATGACATTATTCCTTAGATTTGGGAACCAGTTCAGATCCTTAAATCGTATGGCCCCATTTATGGTTCATGGGCACCTGTTGCCTTAGTAAGAGAAAACAAAGGAGGCTATATAAGATCTAGTGGTTCTGTCATGCTTTGCAGTATGTAGTATTTTGACTGGATTTTTTAAATTTTAGGTCACGCTATGCAGATATGCTTCATGATAAAGACAGAGTAAGTATAGAAGCAAAAAATCTTCTGAATGGTAGAGAAAATACTAATCTCCTTTCTCTTGAATGGCTGTTTCTACATGATTATACAGGTTTCTCTGAAGGATGAAATGATCGAATTTGTACCCTTTAAGATACCAGACCTGCTCTTAGATCAACATCTGACTCTTAAGTGTTCTGTTGTTTACTACAGAACATGATATTAGCATTGTTTGCTGTTCTATGTTTGACATTTTTGACAGAGAGAGCTCATTAGATGAAATATCAAAGGCTAAAAATGTGAATCTAGTTTTTATAGGAATGTAAGTAAAGTCTGTCTTAATTCTCCTGTGGTATTTTTAGCTCTTATTTACTGCTTAGGATCGAGAAGAAAATTGAGATACCATATCTACAGGCATGATAAAGTCTGGAATGGATAGTTTAAATGTACTTTCTGCTCTAGCCATTTAGTCAACCATTTAGTCAATAACCTTTTTAAAGATTTTTATGGTGTCTATACTATGAGTCTTGAATTCATACTGAATTGGAACATGCCAGAAGGATCAGGCATTTAATAAGCCATATAGAGACAGCAAGTTGTGTCTAAGTAATTAAAACAACTCTACTGGAGTTATATATCAAAAGTGTTAACTAGAATGGTTTGGAAAGGAATCCAGCAGATTCCAAATATCCAAAGATAGTGTGTTATTTGGAAAGGCTTGTTAAAACATTCCTTTTCAAATGATTTACAGTAGGCTATTATGCAGTAAATATAAGCATATATTTCACTATGTATACTGTAGCTGACAGATGGCAGGATTGTTTTTTTCTCTGTTGTTATTGCTGGTATGCATATAGTGCCACTTAATGGCATATAACCAAAAGCCAGTATTTATACATGCTGCTTCTCATGTGGCAGTGTTTTCCAGTATACGGAGAGGAATCTAAATCCAGGATACTTCAGGTCTTATGCTGTCAGAGGCACTAGAAGACTATTTGAGTGGTGCTGCAGGGGAAAAATAAGAAGACGACCAGTAGTATTTCACACGGATCTTACCTATTCTTTTTATGTCTAGAAAATTTATTGCATTTGTAAATTATGCATGCATTGTAAATAGCTGATTGATCAATCATGAATGGTGTGGTAAAAATGGATGTGCTTTAAATGGACTGATCCCTCCAAAACCACTTCCTTTTGCTGAAAATGTCTTTAGTGTGACTATAGAATGAAGAATGTCTGCAGGTGTTTTTCTAGTTATAAACTTACAGTCTGAAAGTGCAAGATTTCTCTACAAATAGCTAAAAGCTTGCTGATGTCTTTCCTCTTTGTTTTTTCCATCTCCACAGAACACAAAGTATTACCAAGGTATTCGTGCTGCAGTGAGCAGAGTAAAAGAAAGGGGTGAGAAAGCAATTGTTCTAGACATAGGGACTGGCACAGGACTCCTGTCTATGATGGCAGCTTCAGCAGGTGCAGATTTCTGCTATGCTATTGAGGTAAGCATTTGTTATTGGTTGCACATAATTCTGTGTGCATGTTCATAACCTCTTTTTAGAGATTTAATGCAGTTGTTCTGTCTGAATGATCAGTGTTGTGGATGCATTTGCCATTTTGTATTGTGGTTTTTGAAGTGCAAGTCTGATGCTTTCATCTGTGTGAAAAAGACTTAGATCGTACAAGCATATGGTTGTAAAGACATAATTTTTCATTCTTGGGATAGTTTCTGTAAATGTACTGATTAACAGTACTAAGTTAAGTTTTATAGTGTTCTGTCTTTTCTGCTTATCAAAACTCAAGTGTAATATGGAAAACTTGATAAATGTTTTTGAAAAACCTGAGTATTCTCAAACTATATTGTTGATCTTGCTGTTTCAGCTCTTGGAGATGGGTTCTCAGACCCACTTAATAATAACATGAATCCCATCTTAATAAAGATACTGTCTCATAAACTTATTTTCCATTTCTTTGTGATTAGATGGAGCATATCCTTTTTTATTGGCAGATAAACATCCTGATGCTTATTATCAGTCATTTCTTATGTGAAGAATAACAGGAAGATTCTGGCCAATTTAAATTTTTGGTTTACACATTTGAAAAAACAAAAAGAAGATTCACTTGTCCAATGTTTGTAGCTGAAAGGGTTCACTGTGATTTTTATCCAAGTAAAAATCTACATTTTTTAATTAGGATTTTATCCTATGATCATTTTTCAGGGACAGTCATCTTTCGTGTAGGTACAGGAAGCAGTAGCCTCCAGAATAAATCTGTTCACAGCCAATCATAGGGAAGAGACAGTATCAGAAGTGATGTGGTGGGAGGGGTCTTTTCCCTTCTGCTTAGTAGTTTGTTGACCACTCTGGTGGAGGAGGATCACTAGCTGGTGGGAGAAAGGGAGGCCCATGATGGAAAATAAAAGCCTAATCTGAAGTCTGAGAGCTACTGCTGTAGCTGTTCTAATAGGAATACATTATTCCAGTTCTGGAACTTGGGCTAGGTTCCAAAATGGCCACAAATCTCTTAAGTAGTCAGGTTGTGTGGCTGAGTAGAATATTAAAAAAATTTTTGAGTTTAAAAATTTTTGAGTTGGATGTGGATGTTAAGCCCTTTCAACACATTCTTCATTGTTCTGCTATTTTCAAGCTATATATTTTCTCTATTCTTCTCTTTGTTCTAAATGAAATAAAAATTCTCTTCAAGGTTATGCTGTTAATAAAAGCAGATTTTTGGCATACTTAAGTCACCATTTCAGTGCTGGTTGTTTAAGATTCTTTTATGTATTTATTTGTTTTGAGCACATAGAAGCCTCTGGGGGGCCTCTCTTGATGCATGCTTAAATTTTTAAAAATAACAAGTTTAATGTAAATGTTAAATGTGTATTCTTGTCTTTCAAAAGTTAAATTTGAGTAGGTTTTGGAAACAGCTGATAGTTTGTAACAGTGACATTGGAGCCCTATGAACCTTTAAAGTGAGGCTTGCTGTCTTGTTTCATGGTAATGAACTTCAAACAGGAAAAGATACAGAAGATGTTAAAATTTTGGCAGGACTAAATATGCTGCATTTTGCCTTGGTGTCCTTTCATTTTTGAAAGATAGTGTTAGCTTACTAGTTTGTTAAGAGTCTTGCTATTTACAGGTTTTCAAGCCCATGGCCAATGCTGCTGTGAAGATAGTGGAGAAAAATGGTTTTCGTGACAAGATCAAGGTAATCAACAAGCACTCCACTGAAGTCACAGTTGGCCCAGGTGAGAAAAATAGCCTAGGGTTAAAAAAGTTGGAAAGTACCTCAAAACCATGAGGGAATATGTATTCTTCTCACTTTCTGAATGTTTTTAATTAAACCAAGCAAATCCTTTACTCTCTAGGAAGTAACATTGGAAATTTACTTCAAAAGGAAGCATTGAATAGTATTTCAGTAGTCATTTGTATTTCATAGTAAACTTCTAAAAGAAAATTTTCAGTCTTCATCAGGCTCTCTAACAGGAATAAGTTTTTGAATGACTTGTGTTTTCAGTATAGTATTTTCTTGAAAGACATATAAAATTTCTCAATTTTACTATGTTAAATTCTGTCTTTTAGACGGAGATATGCAATGTCGTGCAAACATCCTGGTAACAGAATTATTTGATACAGAGCTGATTGGAGAAGGAGCTTTACCAACGTATGAGCACGCACACAAATACCTTGTACAGGTAAGAAAACAGAAATTGATAGTGTGTCAGATTTATCCCTAGAGAAACTCTTCTGTCTTTTTTGGAGTAGGATAGAGATTATACTTGATTTAAGCTTCTGTATCCTTTGTAAATACACCATCAGCTGTGCAAATTTCTTATTCTGTGAATAATTTGCTAGATTCATTCCTAGAATAAAGCTATTGTGGCACATACTGTAAATCACAGACTCTGAAATTACACTTAGTTGCTTTGTATTAAAACCAATAACTTGCTGGTTAACACATGTCTTTCAGAAAGGCATCCAGTTCTGATTTGGAACTTTCTTTAGTAGTTTGTTCCAATGGCAAATAGGTCCCAAGATGTTATAAAAAATTATTTTCCTCCTAAATTTGATGGGCTTCACCTCCCAGGAATTGATTGGGTTATTTCTTAAGGAATTCTTTCTACTCTGCATGGTTTTTGCCTGTGAAAATACTTTAAACACCATAATCAAATTATATGTCAAAACCCCCCACTGGATATTAATCCATGGGTGTAATTTTAGGGCTTTCTCCTTCACCCCTTCTAATTTTTCCCTTAAATTAAAATGTGGATAGCAATACTTTATTTAGGCTTTGAAGTTTCGTTTCACCAGTTCTACATGTAAAGACAATAGCACTCCATAACTTTTTACTGCTCTCCATATATAACTCTAAACTGTAACTAGACTTTTTTTTGGTGAAAGCATTGTTCTTGGACTTCACAGTTAGCTCTTAGTTCACGGTATTTTTTTAGAACAATTTACATGTTTTCTACTCTTTAAACATGGATACAGAGTTACTATTGCATAAATATTTGAGCAATTATCTTTCTTATTTACTTATTGTAATCACAAACTCTAATGTAGATAGCTTAGTAGATACCTGCCTTGGGAAGCTCAAGATAGATCTCTCATCTCAGAATGAGTATGGAAATACATGTTTAACTGAGGCCAGTAAAATGGTACTGTTGCATGGTTTGTAAAGTAATCTGACATTGCTGAACTACACTGAACAGGATAGATAACTGAACAGGATAGATAAGTGTATTGTATTTCACAAATAGAGAAAACAAAAGTGCTCTGATGTTGCAGAAGTCTCTGAAATTGTGTTGAAGATTTCAAAGCTCCTAGTCCAACTTTTCTTCAAATTGTTTCACATTTCAATTGATTTCATTCTCATGCATGTTACTAAGTCAAATTTGATGAATACGTTTACCCTTTGTTTTAACACTCAGGAAGGATGTGAGGCAGTGCCTCACAGGGCAACAGTGTATGTCCAGTTAGTGGAATCCAAAAGAATGTGGTCCTGGAGCAAATTGTTTCCTATCCATGTCGAAGCAGAGGATGGTGAAAAAATTATTGTCTCCCCTTCAGAAATGGAGAACTGTCCAGGTGTTCCGTCTGTTTGTGATATCCAGCTGAACCAGATGCCTTCAAGTGACTTCACTGTCCTTAGTGATGTGGTGACAATGTTCAGGTAAAGTAGGCGTCGTTGTTTTGTTCAAACCAGAATTTTCCTGTTATGCCTTTTATATAAGTTGTGTATTCACTGTGGGAAGCTAGTGAAAATTTCTGAAGAATGCTGAACTGTTTCTTTTTACAATTTTGATGCTTCTCTGCAGTGTGGATTTCAGTAAGCCAGTAAGGAGTGCTTCTACCTCCTATAGAGTGCAGCTGAAACCTGTAAAATCTGGCAAGGCACAAATTGTACTTTCCTGGTGGGATATTGACATGGACCCTTCTGGGATGATAAACTGCACAATGGCTCCAAACTGGGTAAAACCCACTGCTGCTTTCCAGGTAAAATACTGAGCTTTCAGATACTATCATTGAATGACTGCCAGTAATTATTTTGGGTAAAGGCCATACTGGGTGTTTTAAGCAGACGTGCCTTAAACTGCATAGGAACTTGCTAATGTTTTATATTGGAAGATGCTACATAAGGAAAACATAGAATTGTTAACTTTATTATGCACCCCTTTTAGGTTTTCTTTCATGTAAGACTTGCCTTTAAACTTTAATGTAAAGCTTTAAAACTGAAGCTGTCTTTCAGACTTTTAAAAAAATATTTTCAAGAAATAAAATATTTCCACATATTTTTTCTTAACTTGTCTCTATCCCTTGTCAAAATATTAGTCTGTGATTTGCTTCCATGTAGTTCTATTAAATTTCCAAATAAGTGTTAAGTTTATGGTAATATACTCCCATAAATAAGGCTGGTGTTGGAAAACACTGGGTTGATACTGGATATTTAGAGGAACAGGAGATCACTGTGAAATCAGATTCATGGGGTTTTGTATGAATGTATTTACTAGTAGGATCAACTTAGTTAAAAGGAAACTACAAAATGATTGCTTGCACTTAACCATGTTTGAGAATAAAATTTGAAACTATTAAGCTTCAGGGCATTCAGTCAGCTTAGAATGACCAATCAGCTTGGAATATTTACAGTACAGTAAATAGATTTTTGAAACACAGAATAGTTGTGCTGTCATATCTGAGTGACACTAAATGACCTTATTTGATACATGAGGCTTCAACCACTGATCACTGTCAGCAAATCCATATAGGTTTCTAACATAAGTGAACTATAGAGACGAAACTGCATTAATAAATGCAAAGTGTGTTTTGGATTTGGTTTTCATTTGATTAAAATACAAGCTTAGCTAGTCAGCAAGCCAGTGGTCTCAGGCTTGTTCTGTTGTAAGAAATCTGTATGTAGTACATTTATTCAATATACGGTATTAGTCCTTACTAAGCCTTGCTGACATGAACAAGATTCTTTCAACTAGTTGTACATCAGCACTTCAAAGTTGTGCCCATTCTTACGAATTGATTTCCTGGTATAGTTTTACTTTCCATTTACTATTTATGAGTTAATTCCTAAGGTTTTGTTTATCAACCTTTTTCAGTGGAGAGATCACTGGATGCAGTGTGTGTATTTCCTTCCAAACGAGGAGCCAGTTCTCCAGGGTGAGAAGGTGTACCTGACTGCCTGTCGTGATGAGTACTCTGTGTGGTATAAGCTGCAGAAAGACAGGTAACAAGATGTGTGTGTGAAAAGGGAGGGTATTTTATTCCAAGCTTGAGTATTTGCTGTTCTTAGAAGCAGCTGTTTTGTAGAAGAACAAGATCAGAACCTGAAGACTAGAAAATTATTAAAAGCCACTTTATGGGCAATGCACAGGTGAAAAAAACATGTGATGGATAAAAACAGAGTTGAGGTTTGGGCTGCAGGCTCCTGCCTTATACCTGGTGGCATTCTGTGACAGAGAAACAAAACCCACTCATGGTAGGTTCCTGGAAATCCTAAATATTTCTGGGCTGAGTTGGCATATAGGTAAAGGAGTGTGTAATTGCCATGCTGTCTCTTTTCTATTTTCTTAGCACTGTCTTTTTGAGATTAATGCCTTGTACTCAAATTAAAAGGAGCTTAATCATGTTGGTTGTAATGACAATATCAGCCAACATTTTAAAAACTCAATGCCAGCTTTAAAAGTTAACTCCTGAATTGTGTGTGCCTTTTATTTTACTTAGGAATCCAAATATGTAACTTTTTTCTAAAAGGTCAAAGCCTAAAATACTTAACCATCACAGTCAGTGGGAAAGTTTGGTTTTGTTTTTTAAAAAAAGATGAAAATTGGCTTTTTTTTTCATTTGGAAAAGCAAAGCTAGAAAAGGGTCCCCTCAGAACTACTAGATTTGAACAAGTGTGGAGTCCAAATGCATTAATGTGCATACTACCTAAAATGTGTAAATGCACATGTTTGTGAAAACATATTACTGATGCTGTAGTTAATACTTCATTGAAATTTTTTTGCAGAGGAGAAGAGGAGAATAAATCAGATGTTCGTGTTGAGAGTCCTGTTTGTAGATGTCAGGCTCATCTTCTTTGGAACAGACCACGCTTTGGGCAATTAAATGATCATAACCGAACACACCAATACATCAAGTCTTTGATGAAAGTGAGTGCAGGTTGCCAGTAGGTTTTTTGGCTTCTGCCATAGATGTGTGCATTGGGTTTTTTGCAGTAATTATTAGTGGAATTTGTTTCTCCCTTGCTAAAGGACTGTGCTTATAAAGTGTATTTTATTTACATCAGCAGATCTAAGTTCTATTTTGTCATGAAAACTTTGGTATTACTTTTTTTAGATTCTAAACAGCCATTTTTGCATGGGAATTTGTAGCAACTCTGTGTATCTCTGTGTAGAAAGAGTATTGGGAGTTGAGTAAAGACACCCAATGCATTTTTGTGTAAACATTTTCTGACCTAAAACAAGGGGATTAGATGAACATTTCTTAATAGTATGCTGTTCTGCTTGAAGTGGTTATATTAATCACTGTATCTCCCAGTCCTTATTCGATATGAAAATGTGTAAAGTGGGGAAAAAACCACTACCAAGATGTCTAGAATTTGAAAACTCATTCATCTAGAATAGGAATAACAATGACTATTTAATTTCTGTAGGTTCTGAAAACAGATAGTGTTTGCCTCTGTATCAGTGATGGCAGTCTGCTGCCTGTGCTGGCTCACTATCTTGGAGCAAAGCAGGTACAGTACTTCTTCCTGTTTTTCTTTCCTTGTGTTTTAGCTTGGTATTTCCTGTCCTCTCAACTGGTTCAGAATTTCTAGCCTGTTATTTAGTTATTTTCAGTGCCGCTTCAGTGACAAGTGAGAAAGAGGCTCCCATTGTGTTGAATAGGAGGTTTAATTCATCTCTGACTTCAGTCTAGGGAGATAATAATTACCATTTTTGATGTTGACCAATATGTAACCTTGAATGAAAGCAGTGTTCCTCATTCCCCACTGATTGCTGTCAGTTTGTATCTTGTTGGTTTTGCAAATACTGTTTCTACTGACATAAATGTCTGGCAATTTTTTTTCTTCTTTTGTGTTTCCAATTCCATAATTACATTTATTATCTAGTCTGAAGTGAAAGGTCTGCAACAGCAAGATAGGAAGCAGTAAGAATACTGAATCTGTGTGTAAATGAGAGCTGCCTGCCTGTCTCAAGTGTATATACCATACTTGTGTTTTCTCCTGGGGTTTGTCAAACTAAAATCTATTACAGTTGGGCTGAATATCTGGGAATGTGTAATGTAATATAATCCTGAGGAAGTTGCTAGGCAATTCATAGAAATAAACAAACATGCGGAGTTAAACCAGTGATCCATGGCCCCTGTATTTTTGTCTTTAGTAATGGCTAAAGACAACCAGGAGAGAGGGAATGAATAGGGCAGACACAGAAATTCCTATAGTTATTTTCCTAGCCCTGTAGCAGCATATTACCTAACTATTCACCAAAATTGAATAAAACCTAATTTATTTCTTATTTCAAACAGCTGGTGTGCTGCATTGTACATCTGAGCTCTGTCCAGCTGATACAGTCAGATGACATTAAACAGTGCTTGGAAGGAGTAAGCACTAGTGGAGGTTGATTCAGCACACTGACAATATGCTTGCATTTGTTCTGGAGTGTATATATGCCTAGAGCAAATGTTAATATGCTATGTGCAAATAAATATTTGCATTTTGTTGGGGGTTTTTTCTTGTATGGCTGTGAATACAGCATTATTTAGCCTGTAGTTATTGGGGGGTGGAGTTTTTTTGTTGTTAAAAAGGTACATGAGAGTGGGCTGTGGAATAGATGCATGATTCTTATGAACTGTCTTCACTAGGGCATCAAAAAAGTTCTTTCATTGTTTGTTTATATATTTTAATTAAAAATTAAAAAGCTAGATGACTTAATGTTGTATATTTTCTTTAGGTGTTTACATTAGAAAACTCTGCTGTGTCCTGTTCCGTCATGGAAAAAGTGAGTATTCAGCTTTCTGTTAAAGCAGTAAATGAACTCATGGCATTTCATTTTCTTGCATCAATTGCTTGGAGGTTAAATCAAGTTTAATAAATGTATTGGCTCACAGAATCATCTAGGTTGGAAAGGACCCTGGAGATCATCTAAGTCCAACCGTTCTCCTAGCACAGTTCCCACTTACAGCATATCCTTAAGCTCTAAATCGACCCGACTCTTGAACGCCTCCAGGGACAGGGACTCCACCACCTCCCTGGGCAGCCCATCCCAACGCCTAACAACCCGTTCTGTAGAGAAATGCTTCCTAATATCTAGTCTGAACTTTCCCTGGCACAACTTGAGGCCATTCCCTCTTGTCTTGTGTCACTTTCTACTAGGCTAAAGAGGCTCAAACCCAGCTCTCTGCAGCTTCCTTTCAGGTAGTTGTAGAGGGCGATGAGGTCTCCCCTCAGCCTCCTCTTCTCCAGACTAAACAATCCCAGTTCCCTCAGCCGCTCCTCACAGGACGTGTTCCAGACCCTACACCAGCTTTGTAGCCCTTCTCTGGACATGCTCGAGTCATTCAATGTCCTTTTTGTAGTGAGGAGCCCAAAACTGAACACAGGAATCGAGATGTGGCCTCACCAGCGCCAAGTACAGGGGCAAGATCACTTCCCTGTCCCTGCTGGCCACACTAATCCTGATATTGGCCTTCTTGGCCACCTGGGCGCACTGCTGGCTCAGATTCAGCCAGCTGTCAGTCAGCACCCCCAGGTCCCTCTCTGACTGGCAGCTCTCCAGCCACTCCTCCCCAAGCCTGTAGCGCTGCTGGGGGTTGTTGTGGCCCAAGGGCAGCCCCCGGCATTTGGCCTTATTGAAGCTCATGCAGTTGGCCTCAGCCCATGGCTCCAGCCTGTCCAGGTCTCTCTGCAGAGTCTCCCTACCCTTGAGCAGATCAACACTCCCACCCAACTGGGTGTCCTCTGCAAACTGACTGAGGGTGCCCTCGATCCCCTCGACCAGATCATCAATAAAGATGTTAAACAGGAGTGGCCCCAAAACCGAGCCCTGCGGGACACCACTCATGACCGGTCGCCAACTGGATTTAACTCCTTTTCACCACAACTCTCTGGGCCCAGTCGTCCAGCCAATTTTTCACCCAGCGAAGTGTGCGATTGTCCAGACCTTGAGCAGTCATTTTTGCCAGGAGAATGCTGTAGGAAACGGTGTCAAAAGCCTTGCTAAAGTCAAGGTAAATTACATCCGCAGCCTTTCCCTCATCCAGTACAGGTTGCTCTGTCATAGAAGGAGATCAGGTTTGTCAAGCAGGACCTGCCTTTCATAAACCCATGCTGACTGGGCCTGAGCATCTGGTTGTCCCTCATGTGTTGCATGATGGTGTTTAGGATGAGCTGCTCCATCAGCTTCCCGGGCACTGAAGTCAAGCTGACATGCCTGTGATTTCCTGGATCATCCTTCCGACCCTTCTTATAGATGGGCGTCACATTGGCCAATTTCCAGTCAGTCGGGACCTCCCTGGTCAGCCAGGACTGATGGTAAATTATAGAAAGTGGCCTGGCAAGCACCCCAGCCAGCATCTTCAGCACTCTCAGGTGTATCCCATCTGGTCCCACAGAGTTGTGTCTATGTGATGCAGTAGGTCACTGACTGTCTCCTGGAATGCAGAGGGGTCGTTCTCCCAGTCTCTGTATTCTGGCTATGGAGGCTGGATTTCATCAGTACAACTAATCTTGTTATTAAAGACTGAGGCAAAGAAGGCATTAAGCACCTCAGCCTTCTCCTCATCACTTGTTACCATATTTCCCCCTGCATCTAGCAGGGGATGGAGACTACCCCTGGACTTTCTTTTGCTACTGACATACTTATAGAAACTTTTCTTGTTATCCTTGATTGCAGAGGCCAAATTCATTTCCAGCTGGACTTTAGCCCTTCTCACCCTGCATAGCCTCACAGCCTCTTTGTAATCACTGTGTGTGGCTAGCGCCTTCTTCCAAAGGCTGTAAACTCTCCTTTTCTCCCCGAGTTGCAGCCAGAGCTCCCTGTTCAGCCAGGGTGGTCTTCTCTGGTGTCAGCTTCTATTAGAGCACCTGGGGACCGCCTGCTCCTGAGCCATTAACACTTCTTAAGGAGCGCCCAGCCTTCCTGGACACCTGTGCCCTTCAGGACAGTCTCCCAGGGGATCCTTTCAAGCAGGTGCCTAAACAAGACAAAGTCAGCCCTTCAGAAGTCCAGGATGTCAGTCCTGCTTAGCTCTGTCCTGACCTCTCTAAGAATAGAGAACTCTATTATTTCATGATCGCTGTGCCCTAGTTGGCCTCCAACCTCCGCGTCGTCCACCAGCCCTTCTCTGTTCACAAAGAGGAGATCCAGCAGGGCACCTTCTCTGGTTGGTTTATTCACCAGCTGCATCAGGAAGTTGTCTCTCACACATTCTAGGAATCTCTGGGACTGGTCTTGTTCTGCCGTGTTGTATTTCCAGCAGGTGTCTGGGAAGTTAAAGTCACCCACAAGAACAAGGGCAAGCAATTGTGAGATTTCACCTAAGTGCCTATAAAATATCTTGTCCATCTCTCTGTCCTGCTTGGGGGGCCTGTAGTAGACTCCTATTACAACATCTGCCCTGTTGGCCTTCCCCCTGATTCTAATTCAAAGACACTCAACCCTGTCTTCACTACACCTGTGCTCAAAGCAATCATAACAGTCCTTAACATACAGAGCCACCCCACCACCTCTCCTTCCCTGTCTGTCCCTCCTAAAGAGCTTGTAACCATCAATTGGCACACTCCAGTCATGGGAGACATGATCGTACAGTTTGATAAGACTGTGGGAGGTGGGATATGTTGGAGGGAGGAGTTAATGATTTTTTCCAAGGAGTTGTACAGAGCTGTGTGCAACTACTTGAAGGAAAATGTCCTGTTGGAGAAACATCCAATCTCAGACCTTTAGCCACAAGCTGAGTAGACCACTGGGGAAGTTGAGCTGAGCAGAGAGAATATAGTTGCCAGTGCTTGATCTCTCCTTGCAGATGCCTGTTGGCTTGTCTTCTTGAGCTGCTGTTCTGCTGCCCTCATTGCTCTGGTGATAAAAGCCAAGCTGTTTGTTTCCGAGGATTAGTGGAATGGGAGAGCATCCTGTAGCTTGCACCAGTCTCACCTGGAAAGTGGCATCTAGTAGTTCTGTCTTCCAGCTGAGACAAGTTGGGATTGCCTGCCCTGCTCTTTGGCTCTTAGGAGGCAGTAGGCAATGGGCCTTAACTGCACGTGATGGTTCAGCGGCTTCCGCGGGGTAGGGTACAGAAGGCCCTGCCAGTGGAGCAGAAGCTGTTCAGGAGAGGCAGCTAAGATCTAAGAAGTGCCTGAAATCAGCTTCCTGAAGTCATTGTTCAGCTGTCTGTTTTAGTTGGCACTGTATATTTGAAAGATGTCTATCTCAGCCTGTGGCTTAGGAGTACAAAAACATGAATGGTAGCAAATTGGGACGCAAACCTGGTCTCAAGCAGCCAAATAAGTATTATTTCAGATATGAATACACTGCTTATCTTTCATGACTGTCCTTCCCATATGCTTCAAAGTACAAAAGAATGAAGGTGAGGCAACTTTTGTGTTGCCTGCCTTTTTATATACTTAATTGAAGGAATATGTAGGGCATGTGCTTTAGTTCACTAGGTGTGACATGTTGGCTCAGAGTGCATGCACCCTTCAAGAATAGACTTGTCCTGATGAGTTATAGTAGGCATTTTTTTAAAAATTTTTTTCACTATTGGTTTCCTTTTGTTTAATAAAATTATTATTTTGGTGTGGGTTTGAGTTTCAGCTGTAACTTTTGATAAAGACAGTATGCTACTTTTTTTTTTTAGTTTTTTAAAGCAAATCATCTTGAAGATAAAATTAAAATAATAGAAGCACGTCCTGAGTTGCTGACCTCTTCTCATTTGGAAGATAAAAAGGTATGTTACAGTTGTCCAATACTGAATTTTAGTGGTGTGGTGGGGAGCAGAAGGTGAAAATAAATCTTGCTTTCCTACTGTGCTTCTGTAATCGTAATGAATCCCACTATGTCCTAGTTCATATAAATTATAATGAGTAGATGGTTCAGACGTTGTCCCACTGAAACTAAGTGAGGCTTAGTCTAAAGCCTGGGAGGGTTTTTGCTTTGTTTTTGAAAGGGTATGACTTTCCCTTCCTGCACAATTACACCAGTTGTAAGGGCAGTTAAACTGGTTTAACTGCATATGTTCTGCTAGACTGTAGCTCTTCTTTCTTAAGCCACTCAGAATATTGCAGTCTATTTGGAAGTACTAACATCCTTAAATTAAAAATTTCAAAATTCTATGACTCTTACTACAAAGCCTTCCAACATAATACTACAATATTTTCTCTCAAACTTTACTGTAGGAAAATTAATTTTAAAATTTGCCAACTAAAAGCACGAGAAGATTGTTGTGCGGTATATGCAGTAATTAAATCTTTGTGGAACAGTAGAAGTTTTTATCTAGATGACTTCACTTGCTATATTGCATTGTCTAACTATTGAAGATATAAACAGCCTGTGTTACCGAGTTGTTGTTTTTTATTACAGTGCTTTTAATTTCTTTCTTTCTTTGCCAAGATTTCTGTTCTTGTGGGAGAGCCATTTTTTACAACAAGTTTGTTGCCGTGGCATAACCTGTATTTCTGGTATGCTAGGACAGCTGTGACCAGCCACCTTACCAGCAGTGTCACTGTCCTACCTCAGTCTGCTTCTTTGCACATGATGATTGTGGAGTTCCAGGTGAGATTGTTTAGAGCTATCGATTTGATATTTACACTGTTCCACAAAATTGAGTATTCATCCAGGATTTTTTAACAAGTTTATCTCATCTTAATGCTGTACACTTTGATATGTTTTGTACTTACCACCTGAGAAAAGAATGTTTGACACCTTGCAGATGAGTTTTGCTGTTTCGGCTGTTGCTGTCAGAAAATTAACTTGAGTAATTTTACCATTTTAAATGAAAGGGCTGAATGTTTTAAAATTTTTCTTTAGGTTAGAGAGATACTGCTGAAGCATGTGAGAATTGTGGTTATTTAGATATTCTGCAAAATAACGAGTTTTAAAATTATGCTTTATGAATATAATACTGTAGGCAGGATTCATAATTGCATGTTCTTTTTTTTAACCACTTGAGGCTATGCACAGTTCTAAATTTGAGAATAATAGGGGTCACATACTAATACTTTGAAAAGTCATCTTTCAGAAGTTGTACAAAGGTACAAACTTTTTTGCAGTTATTAAGGACTTTGTCAGTAAAAACTGTGAAGAGATTACCTACAATGACAATGGAAATTAAATAGGTACTTTTGTAATCAATATGCAAAGTTTTTGTCCAGTGGCTTTAGTCTGAAATTGTATAACAAAAATAAACATATCTGTAAATTTAAAAAAATGCCTATAGTCTAATGAATTTCCACATTAAACATAACCTTCAGTTTATCTGTTACAAATACCAGGTCTTTTCTCTCTCTTTTCTTACCTTTTGTCTGGTTCACCAGCTGTGTAGTTTTGTGTCTGAGCCTTCTCTCCCTTAACAGTTTCCTTATTTGAATGTGCTTTAACCTTGTTCACTTACTTCCACCTTTGATTTGTGCATGTGAAAATATGTATGTTCTTTGTCCCTCTGGACTAATCAACTACACTGCATGTGTTTACATGCCTTTGAGTTCTCTGCAAAAATGTAGAGAATTTAAATGTATGCTGAGTAGATAATGTAAATCTGAATCTTACAATAGGAAGCAGTTGTTTAAGACTAATCAAGAGTAATGGGATTGACATAAGCAGTTAATTTTAATACCATGCTCTCTTACCCAGAGGATTTACTTCACTATTGTAAGGAAGCAAGCATTATTCTCTTCATGTTCTGGTTGAGAAAACTGAAGCATGCAGTGATGATTTAAGATTATTCACCAATCTAGTAGCAGAATGTGGAGTGACATTCACATCACCTGAACCTCAGTTTTATACTTTTATGTACAGGGTTGTGTTCAGAGAAGATTCCACATAGCTATTTTGATAGAACATTTAACTTGTGTTTTGTTCTATTAAGCTACTCCAAAAGCTATTGCTTTAATTTCACATTTTCCTCTTTGTTCAGTGGTGAATCTAGATTCAAAGACCAGAATCTCTGGGCTTTTTTAAATAACCTCTGCATTTACCAGTTCTTGGTTAGACAGAAGGAAGAGACATAGCATTGTCAGGTATTCTGCAGAACTGGCTCCCTAGCTGTTCTACCTTGCTAGAGTAAGGATATTACAGTTAAGCACTTAGCAAAAGCTGGATCCAGGAGAAAGAATTTGATGAAATTACTTCGGTTATAAATTTGTTTAGTCCATAATTGCATTTAGGGAGCAGGATGCTACCTATCTGGTTTGATAGTTCTATCAGATATACCATTCAGAGATTCTTTATTATCACTCTAGTTCATGCTTTATTCAGCCATAAATTACAGCAGCATTTATTTAAATGTATAGCAGTCCTGCTGCCATCTTGTAGAGCAGGAATATTTGGGGTTGCTAAGTGTAACAATGAACAGGTAATAAAATATATTTACCACATCTACAATAGAACAAGATCATCCACAGCCAGTAAATGTTCTTGTTCTATTAAGAGACCATTAATGCAGTCTAAGAAAAGCAAAAGTTGAACTGAATCACTGTTTCTGCAGTGGATTGCTAAAGTTAATGAGAGGCATAGTATGAAGCATGTAAAATAATTTTACCAATCTTTGGAGTGCTAAAGGGAAAAATGGTAGTCAATAGGCTGTGAGACGTTTGATGCCACTGGGAGCACTTACCTGTGCTGGGTAGTGGAAATGGGAGGCCTGTAAGGGGGGTTTCATCTTGGCAAATCCATACCTACTCTAAAGTAAATTATGCAGAGATAGTAGGAAATGTGACAGATTGTTTAGAGGAGTTGAAAGCAGTGGCTGAAAATTAGCTGAATTGCAAAGTACTTTCCCAGAATTACATTATCTTCCAATTCCTGCAGTAGTTCTGAAGCTTTAGGAATGTATAAATAGTAAAGAGTTTTTATCTGGCTTGTTATCAAATATCTAATCTACAGCTAAAATTATTTTAAGATTTCCTGTTTCTTTTAATAAAGCCAACAAAATCCTGTTTTCTTTTTTAGGACTTGTGGAGAATCAGGAGTCCATGTGGCACCTGTGAAGGTTTTGATGTCCGTACTATGGATGATATGATTAAAGTAAGAAGACTGAGAATAGTTTCAGCACAAATCTCTGCGAAACAGAACAAAACTCACACTGGCTTAAAAAAGTATTTAGTGACTTTGAAAAACTTGTATGTTAGGCACAAAACCATTGGTTTAGTTCTTCATTAATGTAGTGAATATTTAGTTCTTGCAAAACAGTAACTTCAGTGGCATGGGTTTTGGGGTTATATGTTTCTTCTTATTTGTCAAGCTCTTCAGTACTTCACACTGTTTTGAAAATACTTCTGTTTATTCAAAAAGAAACATACTGTTCTCAAAATGTTATTCTGAGCTTGAAATCAAATCATTTGGGGGTTGTCCATAGATGAATCCTGATGCCCTTACTTGCCCTTGCAGGTACTTTTGAAAGAGAAAAAGGCTTTTTGATTTCCAAGAAATAGATATGAAGGGTGAGATTTATCTGTATCAGTTTCTAGAGCTGTACTGTCAATATCCATATCTGAGTTAGCCATTTAGATTGCCTTTGTAGTCATTGTGGAGGAGTACAGGCACTTCTGCAGTAGAATTCATCTCAAGGGAGGAGAAAAGATAAATGCGTTGTATTTTAAAAGCACCTGTTTGTGTTTCACTGCTGAGGACCATAGTCATAGCAATTAGTTCATGCATGTAGTTAGTATTTTTCTCTTGTGCCTAAGTAGTACAGTGCTGTCCTCCTGCAGCTTTATTGCTTAAATACTCTAGGTTCAGGACACATAAATAACTTGAAAACAAGGACTGCTTGCTTTTGGATTGTTTTCAGATAGTTTTATTACTTTATTTTTTCAGAATTCTCTGAATTTTAGGGAATCCAAGGAAGCAGAACCTCACCCTCTGTGGGAATATCCTTGCAAGTCACTCTCTGACCCCGAGGAAGTTTTGACATTTGACTTCAGAAAGACTGTACCACAACACTGTCTCAGCACAGAGGGTTCTATAAAGCTTTTACGGTGAGTTTTCTCATTGCAGTAAAAATTCTTGTCATCATCCATTTTTTTACCTCTTACTCAAGCTTTTTGTGTATTACAGGTAACTAGTGGGTACATACTTGCCCATTCTTAATAATATGACCTAAAGTTGTGGATGTCATTCTGACACAAATTTCCTGGGGCTATTCACAATAGTCTATAAGGATAATTTCCTAGATAATGTGCCTGTATTTTAAAAATAACATTTTTCTAGATGTTACCATGATTTAAATCTAAAATAGATTCATTTATAGTTTGGAGAAAATAAACCATTGTCTGGATGTTTTTAATCCTTCCGTTTGTTCCCTGTTACCGAGTTCTTGCAGAAAAAGCTCCTTTTTAGCTTTCCAAATTACTCTAATAGCTTTAAAGTGTACACTATTCTTCCTTTTAACTATAACTCTGACAGACTTCATATTTGTCACATGTATTCTGAGATATTTTCACTAATAATCTAACTAGAGATTGTACTTAATTCTGTTCAAACTTGAAATACTGTTAAGACTTAAAAAACAGAGGAAATTTATTTTTAACTATCTCGAGCTTATGTAACTCAAACACTGCTGTAATTGTATGTTTCTCTTTGTGAAACAAAATTCAAGGTTTCACAAAAATCTAGAACCATCTGCATGGGGTCTCTGCCTTTGCACCAGCTGTTGTATTTACAGGCAACACACTAGCATGACCTCTGCTCCTTGGGCAGCAGACACTTGAAGTGAGATGGTATGTGTGGTAAATATTTCCTCAAAATTCAGAAACAATAGAAGCTGGGGTCTCTGAAGGACGTACTCCAAATATGCCATATAATTTATGCCATGTTATCAAGTGCCTGTTAAACGGCTGTAGTTCTGAGCAGATTTAGTTATCACATATACTGCTTTTCCTTGTCTTTTTTAGGTTTCATATCTGCAAATACTTCAAGTTGCTACCCATTTACCAAATCATTCAGCTGTTCAATGTTTTTTCAAGGGAACAAGTTATTCATGTTTAGATACCTCTCACCTAAACTATCTGAGGAATGGGTGCAGCATTTAAACTGTCAGTATTGTATAAAGTAACAGTTTTTTATCCTCCACCTCTCCCCAGGAAAGGAAAGAGCCATGGAGCAGTTCTGTGGATGGAGTATCATCTTGCTGCTGATATCTCCATTAGTACAGGACTGATGCAAATTTCAAATGAAAAGGTATTTCTTCAGTCTAATTTATTATGTCAAGGTTTATAGGATTTTACAGTGCTGAAAAATGGGTCTCTGCTGGCCATGCTTGGTTTATGCAGTGCTTGTTGTTACACTAGTTGAATACTATGTACTCAGAACTAGTAGAGCTATCTGTCCATATTTTTGGGGTGAACAGGAGATGTACCTTAGAATGGGAGAGTCTGAATTGAATCCAAATTCTCCCATAGCTTGGACCACATTCAGAACTTAAATACGATGCTAGCTCAACGTAGAATTTATTCATGCAATGTCCTCTTCTCAGGTTTAAAAAAAAGCAAAAATTTTGAGGGGAAGGAGTAAGTATTTTTGGTATTCTATCTAAATTATTCTTTGACCAAATCCATTTTTGCCATTTTTGTAGCATATGGTATTTCAAGTTATGTATTCCTGTAATGGAATGAGTGGCAATGGAAGTGATAACCATCTGATCGTTGTGTACTGAACTGGCAACAAGAACTCTTACTGACTTATTACTGTCTAGGAATAATATTGTAGAGTTTTGACTGCTTTCACTTTTAACTCTCTCCTGTAGGGTAACTGTGAATGGAATCCCCACTGCAAGCAAGCTGTCTATTTTTTCAGTTCTGTTATTGAATCAGAAACTCTGTCTGACCTTCCTAGTGCTGTCACATATGCTATAAATTTTGACACAAAGACAGGAGACATTGCCATGGATTTTAAGCTACTGTAAAATACTTTCCTTTTACTCATGTTCCTAAATTATAATAAACTTATATAGTATTTTTTTTTTGTATGGCAGAGATATTTTTTTATTGTGCTCAGAGACCAAACTGACCGTTGTGAAATATACTTTAAACATTTTTGGGTTTGTTTTCAAAATATATAGTTGCAGAGCTGATGAGGAACTTTTCCTTAAGGACAGGTATTCCTGGCAGGGTTTATATACATAAACACACATACTTGCTATCACCTGTTTCAGTGTGAATCTCTGGTATTTTAGGGTTTTAAATAATGTTATGGAGCTACAAAACAGTTGATGTACTGTTTGGCATATCAGTGCATGAAGACACTAAACCTCACACTAACATTAGATAACACTGAGTTAAACTCATCTATTTCTAGGATTTGCTTTTGTCAGTGTAAAATGGGAAATTATCTTCAGAGCACACAAGAAGAAAACCTAAGTTAAGGTACATACCTATATTAGTGCACTTAATAGGAAGAACAAAACAGTTCAGCTGCCCAGAGACTTGTGTAAGCTGAGACTGTACTAAACTGGAATGGTCAGAGAATTAAAGTATGAGGCACTGACATCCTGCTGGAGTCTGAGATGGTGTGTTTCTGAAGAGATGTTCGCCAAACAGTCGCTGAAGTCTGAAAAGACATCACTGAAAATTAGAAAATGTACATACTTTGGTCCATTAGAAGTGACAAACTGATGGTAGTCTGACCAGAAACAAAAGGAAAAGAGCCATAGTCTAAAAAACCTTGAAAATCTTTAGGAGATATGTGATATGCATTATATGATCAAAAATGTGGCCTTGTACTTGTTCCATCAGAGGGCTAAATAATACCTGCCAGTTTAGCTAAATTGCATATTGTTCTGCAATAGCACAAATCCATAACTGAGGTTTTCTTAGTTGCATTCCAGATCACGCTGTCAGAAGTTGTAGTGTGTGACCATGTGTGTGCAATTAATTCTGCTTTAGATGAACAATCAATTGGTGTATCCGTTTTGTATGTGTGATCTATTAAGGGAAATAGAAAATCAATGTACTGTCTGTCCTAAATTATGTCAGCCACCTGCAGGGATAACTCTGTTTACCAAAGCTACTCCTGTTTCCTCTGAGCAGCAACTTCAGCAAAGTGAAAGGAATGCCTTAAAGAAGTCATGAGGGAGCATGGCTTCCTGGTCACCATGATCTGTAGTTCTGGTGAGTAGGAATTTTTCCTCTTCCTAAGAGTGTGATCATATTTATAGACCTGGAAGCCACATGAAATATTCCTACGTTTTTTCAGAACTATTTTCCCAGCAAAGGTCTTCACACTTAATGCATGTAAGGAAGCAATGAAATACATGACTAGTGTTTCCCACTAAGGCATAAACCCTGCAGCTGCTACTGAGATTGGTGGACTTCACTTTTCAAAACTGTACTTTTAAGATGCTTAACTTCAGACTCTCATTTCTTACAAACTTCACAGGAATATGTCAGTTACTCTTCCTTAAACAATTGTTTCTGATTTTGATACCCTGTGCCTAGCCCACAGAAAAAGCATGGTGGCACAAATCTGTTTGTCATATGTTGGGAACATAAGCTGTACAATTGTAAAGGAACAATAATATGTCCAGGCCTTTTAATGGTAAAGTCTTAGCCCTTTATAAAAAAAAAAAAAAAAAGTCAGTTGTGCAAGTCTGAATGGATAAGGCTTGCATGGTATGGCCCCTCTTCCTGGAGGAGATAACACGGTAGAAGAAACTTAGATGCTGCCTCCTGGGTTTGCTTGTGGCCTGACACAGAAAGCATGAGCTGCTGTTCTGCAGGAGGAATAGCTTCGGAAGGTGCTTTGCATTTAACTGCAGAAATTATTATAGATGTAACAGAAGCATACAGTGTTCCAAATGGAACACAGAACTAATAGCAATATATTAGAATATATATGTTTGAAAAATAAAAGAGAACAAAACCACAACTGAATTTACAGTATTTTAATGTCTTGTGCTAACTTTCTCAAAGATACCTATGTATGTATGTGCCTGAATCGTACTTCCTAAGAAAAAATAAGCAGATAAATTCACTAAAATGCCAAAGAGAAGAAATCCACATTGATGGGAATTTGTATTTAGTTATCAGTGTTATATATGTTGGAGATACGTGGGCACTGTGGTAGATACCAGGCATGGTGACTGAGAGGTGCCCTTTTTAAACCCTTCTGGTATTGTGAGACTTGGGACTATTGAGATTCTCAGAGGTGGTGTAGTGCAAGTGAAGGGCACAGGCTAGATGCAGTAGCTAGCATATCTGCCGAACTGTGCTTCCAGCACTGAACTGCGGCAGTTGACATCAATCATATTATCTGCACGGGACAAAAAACATCCTAGATTTCAATATACCTGGAGTGATAATTGTATTGCTACTGTCCAAAAACTAGAAAGGCTGGAAAGCTGGAATGCTGAGCGTATTTTAGCACCTGTGCATTCCTTAGAGGAACAAAATCTGATGGCTGTGCTCAAGCAACCCTGTGCATGTTTTAATTCACTGTGAGTGTGATCAGCATTACTAATGCTGGTTATGCTTATGCATTTAGACAGGCACTGAAACTGCTTTGAGGATCTGGTTAAAACATGCTGGAAGTCATTATGTTGAAGTAAACCCTTACCACATGTATGGTTTGAATGTTTTCACCAAAGTCACACCACTCATTAAATTCTGGTACATACAAAACATAGATAGCTGTGTTGATACGAATCTGGGTTACTTGGGGCATATGTAACTAGGAGTATTTAGTGTATGTGTCAGTCTTTGCCCTCTGAATTCTTCAGGATGGACCTAAAAACTTAGTGTGATCTGTAAATTGTGTGGCAAATGCTTTTTATAGGAGGATACTGGCCATTCATTACACTATATGCAAAACCAGAACAAAAAAGTACTATTATCACTATCCTCTTCTACAGGGCATTTTACTTGCAACTATACACATGGGAGAGGAAAGCCACTTTATCAGAAAAAACACATCCAGTCTCTCCTACTTGTTCCCAGACCTGACAGAAGCATTGCCATGATGTTCTGAGTTGGAAGAGCTTCTGTTACTGGCGTCTTAATAAGCAGAGCAAAAATCCTACTTTCTCTTGGAAGGAACTTATTCTGTGCAGCCACTACAGACAATTTTTTTTTCTAAATGACAACACCTTTGATCCTGACTAGGCCTGCAGGCATAGATGCATGTTTTAATAGAAACAGGATCCCCTGCCACCACTGAACTAGCAGTATTACAGTTCGTATGTTGCATGAAAGCCAGTGTATAACTGGCAATTTTTTTTAATGTGGCACAAGAGATGCTTGCAGTAAAGATGCAGGTTTTATTCAGGTATTGAAAATAATCATTAACTACAGAGTTTTGCCATTTACATTTAACTTCCCTACTGTAGTTTTGCTGCAAAAATAATAATTTATCTGTAGCTCTGAATTGTGGTGAAAATTTTACTAGTATTTGGTGGTTATCGCACCCCAAATCCACAAGAGGGTGCTGAGAATCCACTTTTAAATTTCTAGTGCATTTTTTTCAGATCTTGTTTACTTCTAATATGGAAAAGTGCACAGACTGTCACATCTGCACATAAAACGTTTGTGATGTTATGAGATACACTGTATATACATGCACGGCAATGGAAAATTAGTACAAAAAGTGACAGCTGCTAGTAAAACTAATACAGGCGTGCACCTATCATAAAAAGCAGGAAGATAAAGTGTCTCATGCTGCATACACAGAATGAATAATATTCTTAGGACAGTGAAATTGTTGTGGTCCTAATGAAGGACAAGTCTTGCGTTTTAAAGAGTGTTTTCTAAGTCGTGGCAGCTGCAAGATTTGTTCCTGTATTTGCAGAACTGGTACCTTTTGTCTGCAGACCAGGCAATTCAAGGACTGAGATCCTGGAGCTTGCACTTCTCCTTCATTAGTCCCTTTGAAACTGCTCTGTGTAGGCTTTCTGCATTTATCAAGATAGAGGATGCAGTGCAGGACTAATTCATTTAGTCACTCATCTTTTGTGTTCTATTTGTAGTTACAGCTGGTTGTTAGGAGGGAAGAGACTATTAGAGCTTCGTAGTGTTAGATTTTTCCAGTGATGATTGTGAGCTGAGTACAATGGGTTCTTGTGTTGTCATTCTACCTTATTGACTCATGGCATTGCAAAATGGTAATTTGGTTTGGTAGTCAGTCGTTGTAAAACTTCACATTTCCAAGCATTTAATGCAGATTAATGATTCAGATGCTTCTCAGAGAGAGGTATGTGTTATCCCTGTTTTTCAGATGAGAAAAAAATAAGTGTGCTTTGTGTTCAAGTGTTTCATGTGCCCCAGGCCCACTATAAGATTAGGGCCTCGGAGCTAAAAATTACTTGCTCAAGGCCATGCAGAATGAACTAATCCCCTGACTCCCTTGCTTTGCTTTAATCATTTGTTTTCTTAGTGTGATTTCAAATGTAGCCTTATGAGGTTTGACCAAGATACAGCAGATAAAGGCTGAGAGGCAGAAAATCTTTGGGTAACTCGGTAATTAAAACCATGAGGTTTTTAGCATATATGTAAAAAACTATTTTTAATATATATTATAAAGTATGTAGATAACATGTATATTTACAATGCTATAGGGCTTTGGTTTTGTTTTGAAAGGCTTTCATGAACAGAACCCAATTTATTTATTCCCCTCCCCCGCAGGATTCTGTCTAGGATTTGAGCGCCCTAAAGATGCCTCTTCTGTGGACAAGGGCACTAATGAAAGAATGAGAGCTGGTTGTCTTCCTGTATGCAAAGGGAAACCCCACAATTCCAGGTCTGATGGTGCTCTTTGCAGTAGTGTGGACACAGTCCCAGGGTATCTTAGCTCTTAAAATACGCAAGAGACTGGCCACATAACCTCTTGCTCTTGTTCCGGGTTTTGCTGAAGTGTAGCTGTGTAACATACTGCAGCAGCAGCCTCTTCGCTGTGGGTTTTGTTTCCCGCTATTTTTTTGCAGCCTCTACTCTTTCTTCCTTTACACATCGCTCTAGGTGAAGCCTTGAACTCTCGCTTTGGAAGAGAGTGGGTGCTGCAATTTACTGAGTGGACTCTTGCTGTTCGAGGCCGATAGATCCTTCTGCATCTGTACTCCCATCAAGTGACTGCTGCTTTCATCGCTAAGAAAGCAATTATTCACAGCCCTGAGAATCAGCAAGTGATGCAGTGATGAACGGGTGGGAGGGAGAGAC